GTATATATATTTAAATTTTTATATTATTTAAATAAATATTTATGGAAAAAATTAAAAATTATGATTTTTTTTGTAATGCACTATATAATAATTATTTTCTTAATTATATTAAATATTTTCTTTTAAATTTAATAAATATAACTTTTTTATCTCTATTAAATACTTTATTATTAATAAATCATTTAAAACAAAGATATTTATTTATAAATTATATATTTTATAATATTATATTAAATTTATTTAAACTTATTTATAAGTTTATTATTATTATATTAAATAGATATTTAATAGTATCAAAAATTATATCAAGTCTAATTAAATTCAATATTTATTTTATAATTTAATTACTTAATGAATTTTTGATGCTTGAAAATAAATTAATTTCATATTTATTAAAAAATCCTTTAGAATTTGTAATATTTCAAATTCTTAAGATAAAATAAAAGATCGATTAATTTTTAATTATGAAGAAGTTAAATTATAAATATAAAAATTTACTAATATCACTATTGAATTTAATATATTTTGCTGGTCGACCGATGTTTAGCCATTTGGTATGTGGAGAGGCTTGTAAAAGTTCTTGTTTTTTTTGGCGCCAGTCACGGATTTGTTCGGGTTCAATATTAAATATAGCTGTTGTACTGCGAATACTTGGTACTGCTTGCTTTTCGAGAAAGGTTAAAATGGCCAGCTTTTCGCATGCATTCCAATGGCGTTTCTTTTTTTGGGTAACTCGGGCTTGAAGAGCTTTTTTATTAGCTTTAGGCTTTAGGGCGGCCCATATTCTTTGAAAAATTTTTTTGATATATGAAAGTGTGTTAAAAATATTAAACGCGTCAAAAAGGCAAATTTATTAACGCGCGTCAATGATAAATTATTAGGCGCTGCTATTAATCATATGAATTTTCTATATTGGCCCCCCTTTTTTGTATACCCCCGGGTACACAAGTGTTTATCGTGATAAAATTGATTTAGACCCGATACAGTGCTATACGGTAACTTTTTAAACAATAAAAATGCTCAAATTTGTTGATCAGCCCGAAATTATTAATCGGCCCGGAGACACAAAAAAACGAAATACTAATAAAGAATGTTGGTGAGACAATTTATAATCTTGATCTCAACCCTAATCCTAACCCTAACCCTAACCTAGCCTTTCTTAAAGTCGATTTACGGTATTCGAGGAAGTGTTTTACGGTAAAATGTTAACGAGTTTTGACTGTGAAGGTTCAAGTAATTTCCAATCACAGGGCAAGGTACTATCAGGTGATAATCTACCAATCCAATCGGTGTAGCATACGAATTTTGACCATTCTTTATTTGGTAACTTAACCCTAAATATTTGTACTACCTTGCTTTATCGCAATCACGTCAAAAAGTCGAGTTATCAAAATTTCCTATTAAATTTCTTATTCCTTTTTTTCGAAAGAAACTCAAAAAATGGAAATCGATCTCTTGTCCATTATCCTACTCTTCCTGATTGTTTTATTCACCTTTCTATCGATACGAGACGCACCAAGTCCCGATGTACACCCACTTTTACTCACTTCACAATCGGACGTAGCGCGTGTACGCTATCCCGAAGAAACTTCAGTTTACAAGTCTTGTCAGGCGCAACACGGGCTATCCTTTTTGAGCTCTCCAAATAAATACGTTAAAACTGTTGTTGATTTGTTTCAGAACGGCGCGTCAACAGGAGGGAATTTGTTTGGGAGTCGAAAAGGTGGAAATGGGTCGTACTCGTGGGCATGTGCTTCTTGAAATTTTAAAATATATGAGTTTATCAATAAGGTCTTATGATTCTATGAATTGATAATTTGTTTTAGCTAATTATCTTTTTTCTTTATCAATATACGTGTGATAATTTTTTCTAGCAAACGTATAGTATGAGTTCACCAAATTTCTATCTTTTATATTGGATTAGATAAGTATAAGAGCATGTAACAATAATTATTATACTAAATTGTGTATAGAGAAAGTGAATGAAAGAATCACGAATTTTGGATCTGGACTGATAAAATTCACTGAATTATCGCCTCAGAAACACGATCTAATTGGAATTTTTATGGAGAATCGACCAGGTATTTTCTCGACATGCTATTTCAATGAAATGAATTAAAAATCCATTAATTTATATTTATTTTGTTATGTTTATTAATAGAATGGGTGATTGCAGACTTGGGTAATTTTCTTTCATATTCCTTTATCATTAATTAGTTAAACAAACCTATAAAAAACTAAAGCATATTTTATGATGATGATATTGATAATACATAATGATGAGGTTAGCCGCTGCACATTACAGCTTGATCTCAGTATCTCTATCCTCCAGTCGTCCACTTCTTCAAGATATAATCAACGCAATAAATATCACAGGACTCACCACGATCATAGTGTCTCCTGAAACATTGCCCATAATATTTTCCGCGTCACCTGCTGCTAAAACTCTAAAATATATAATTTTAGCTACGACAGCTACAACATCTGTTAGTTTAGATACTGAACAGAAGGCTAGATCTCTAGGACTTGAGTTGAAGACTTTTGAGGATATTGAAAGATTGGGTATTGAGAATAAGATTGAACGTGTACTTCCAGGTATCTTTTGATGGGGTTATTCAATTTTAATTCGATTGTTTCATTTTTTGGATTGTTGTTATAATAATTATTAATAATGATAATAGAGCCAGAAGATGTCGCGACGATTGTTTTTACAAGCGGAAGCAAATCTGGTGTAATTATTATGAAATTCATTATTCATTTGAATCTTATTTTTTGGCACAATCAAGTTATATTATTTAATTTGAAGGATCAAATATAATATTAAATTATAATACATAGGAACCACGAGCAATTGAACTTACGCATTCGGTAAGTGTATTATTAATCTGATAATTTATATTCGCTAATAATTTAAATTATTCAATTTTCCTTACACGCCTTTTTTCATATCTGGATTAATATAGAATATTGTCGCCAGTGTAGGTATGTGTTATAATAGATAAATAAATTTGACAATAAAAATTAATTAAGTAATAATCATTCATTATTATTGTGATTATCTAGCTGGTATTACGGCCGCTGCACCAACAGCACATAAACTAAAATCCTCAGATGTACATTTATCATATTTAACTTTAGGTATTTCTTATTCTTTACCTGGAATTTATTTTAGCGCGAGTTAATTTTTTATCATTTTTTTTCGAAAGCTGTCACTTTTGAGAGAACCTTTGTCGCAGCACTCTTATTTGCGGGAGCAGCAATTGCTTTCCATAGTGGTGATACCTCCAAAATCTTTAATGATGCCCAAGAGGTAAAACCTACAGTGTTTACAAGGTATGCACATATGAACATATCGAATCCTAACATTATGGAATTTAATGATTTGGCTATTTACTTTTAATTCATCAACAATACGTATATTCAATGTTTTCTTTAAAAAGTGACCCACAATTCCTAACAAAGTTCCAAGAGACAATCTTGCAGACGTACGGAAATCGCTTATTCTTCAAAAAGGCACTCGATGCAAAATTGAGTTGGTTAAAAAAAGGAAGATTGGTGGGAAACTCAATTTGGGATGCACTGGTTTTAAAAGACGTGAAAGCAAAATTCGGGGGACAAATTCGAGTTATTTTTTCTGCAACAGGTATTATTTTATTTCCAATTATGATTCATATATATACATAGAGCTTTCGATCTAAATATATTTTATAAACAAAGGACCTATTTCACAGTCTACACTCGACTTTCTTCGTGCTACTGTCGGATCTCAGGTTATCCAAACATACGGACTGACAGAGTGCACTGGAGTAGTTGCCGCGAATAGTTTTTACGATTACCAGCCGGCTAATACGGATAAATCTAGTATTTTGGAGTCACATGTTGGACCTCCTCTCCCGTGTAATGAGATCAAGTTGATTAATTGTGAAGCCAAAGGATATAATGTCGAAGATATACCTAATCCCAGAGGCGAAGTAATTATATTCTATTGCTATTTAATTCTTGAGATTAGATATAAATAAAATAGTTGATGTTTTGATATTTAGTTGATGATAATAATGTGGATTAATTAATATTTAGATATGTGTGCATGGTCCTAACGTGATGAAAGGATACTACAAAAATACGGGAGAAACGGCAAAAGTAATTGACTCTAATGGATGGCTTCATACAGGCGATATTGGCATGATTCTTCCGAATGGCACTTTAAAAATAATTCACGTAAACTGGTAAGGTGATTCTTATTTGCTCTTTGTTATTCTGATCTTCATGTTCTAACTTTTTTATAATCAGAATATCACCAATTAAAAATTGATAAAAATAATTTTTGGTGGAATAATTCACATTTATATATTAAAGTTCTTGATTTTTCACTTAATACTAATTTGCATATGAATTTAAATAAATAAACAATTTATGCTGTCCTTATTTTGATAATTGCAAATTATAAACGATAGATACGTCAGCGATCAAGCTGCAGCTTAACGGATGTGTATTAATGGTTAATACAAGTCCACCCCTATATTGCCATCAATTATCCTGGTTAATTTGGTCATTATAATGTTGCTATTGAATTATCCTGGCTAATAAGGTTTGATTATATAGGAAGGTTTTTTGACTTGTACATGCCTAGATGACTTGAGGCATATGTTAATAACAATCATGGAGGACCAACTAGATACATATACATATACATTCAAAACAAAAAGTGCATAATGACTTTCTTATAATGCTAATTATATACTTGAGAATTTTCATGGGGAATGTCTTCTCCGAAAGAGAAGAATCTGATGCGATTTCATCGCATCAGATGGTAAACGCGTAACTGATGTTCTATTGAGATTACGCGACTACAAAACCGTTAGGAACCTATCCTAAATAAAGTGATTTTTATTTGATATAGCGCATCACCACTAGGGTTTTAAAAATGTGTTTTTAGAATAAGATGAATTTAAACTAATGAAATGCGTAGTAAAATTTAATGAAGATAAATGCTATTATCCAAAAGATCTGTGTAGAGCTTCATACACCTAAGATTTTATTGCTAGGAAACAAGACAGTCTTGGATATCAAGAAACATCTGTCAAGTCATTCATAGATACTTCCGAAACAAGTAATTAATATTTATTAATACAACATTATTTTATTTCAACGACCAACAATGAACAAATATTTTCTCCACAAAAATGCCCACCTAGTCAAGGCGCATCTAATAATATCAAATTCATCCAATTTTAACATCGGATGAAGCTCCGCGGATTTGTTAGTTAAGAGAATCATTAAACTAACACATACTGTATATGACCGAAAGTAAGCCCACCAAGTTTTAAAAAATAATTTAGGAAAATGACAAGTACCGAAAATAAGAAACCTCGAAACTTTTATTTTGAGAAATACATTTTTAGATTTGTTTTTGCCAAGGTTTGCGCATTCCTATAACTTTGGAACGTGAAATCTCATAATTTAATGATCGAATTGGTATGATTTAACTACTATTCGATTCATCTAACTATGAGATTTCACGTTTTTATGTCGTCAAAGTGCGTAAAAAACCCCAGGACGATTACCAGGTTTCTTGTTTTCTTTATTCTAAGATTTTTGAGAACAGCACGTTCATAAGTTAAAACGTAATTTATTATGAATAAATCCAAATCGAGACCAATTACGTTCAGCAGTTGCAGAAGTTGTTGGAATAGATAATATCAAGTTCTACTAAAATTGGAATTTTGAGTAAAGTTTAATCTCACCAACTGATTGCTTTTGAATAGCGTGCAGATTCCCGAGTAATTGGTTTGAAAACTCATCTGGTTTTGCGATATTTTTTTGATTTGTTCCATAAAACTAAAATATTTTTAAAATTTTATTTTTTTATAATCTGATGGAATTATTAAACTATTGTAGGTGTGCTAGCCTATAGAGTTTAATCTCGCTAAATTAAAAATGCTCAAATTAATGTTAAACAGGATAAACATCTAGTAAACAAATACGCTATCTCAAGCATACGAAGTATGTAAACGATTACTAGGAGTCTCCTT